TGCTTTGTCCTTGCAGGGAAACTCGTTTTTCTTTTTTTTTACTTGATGGCAATGTTCATAAAAGAGAAAAAAGGATGATGGTGACGGTGTTCGAGGGAAAGGGGGGGTAATGTCAGGCTCCCAAAACAGTGTAGTAAAGACAAATGCACAGGACTACCACTTCAAGCGCGCGCACGTATTCTCATACTGGGCTGCATTATACAATGTTTAAGGACTTGGTTTATGCTTGCGCATTCAGGTTAAAAAAAAAACGGATCTGCATAGCATGGAAGTTACAGTTGCACCACGAACGGTCAGCAACAAATACTATAGAAACTAGTTTGTAATGTTTTATGCAGTGAGGCTAGCAGCTAAGTTTTTTTTATCTGATCTCGCATAACTCTACAAAACGCTGGTGTAAGACAATACGGGCACTTCAGGGAGAGCCACATTTTTCATGCAGTCTCTTCGCGATGAGAGCTGTGGGGTTTCTAATGGCGAGTGTGTGCCACGCGCTCTTGGAGTGAAAGGACACAGTAGGTACAACGGTCGGTACAAACCAAACATAGATACATTTATTTAACTAATTTAGATGACGATATTATCCGCCCAATCGGAACATCAATTGTGATCAACCCACTGAGACATCCTTACACACATTTTTTATACACTCCAAAACACGACAAACACACAATAACACACCCAAGGCGGCGGCGCCAACACTTGACTTACCACGTGGGCCCCCCGGCGCGCAGGTCGCGGTGCCACGCGCCGAGGACCCACGCTAGAGACAACAGTTCACGGCAGCGCCATGTGCAGTAGAGGCTCGCTCAACTCTCGCCCGCCACCAAGGCTCGCTTCCGCCAGGGGTCACTGCCGGCGGTACCCCATGATGATGATGACGATAGTTGTGCTCAACGCGAATACAATGCCACCTATCGCCCGACGGTCGTCACCCGAAATGCGGTTTGGCGAGACACGTGCGCTACACGGCGCAAACAACTTTACAGAGAGTGTCAGCACCCCCACACTCCCCCAACCTTAAATCAAACCATATCCCGAAAACAAAAAGATAAGCTACACAAGCTTTAACAAAACAATGACATCACATGTCCGTAATGTCCTTGCACCACGATACTGCCACTGGTCGACACTGCTGCAGTTTGGCTCGACTTCACCTCAGTACCGGCCCCCCAACATCAACGTTGCTATCGGCGCGACGAACCGTCGCTAGCGCCGACATATCTTCCAGTTGCGACCAGCACTCACAAGGGCGCCGGGCTGCAGGCAGTTGCGCAGCTCCCAGGCATCTCTAGCGCCCGACCTCACTTCTGGCCAGCGACGCTGGCGATGTGCTGAAGACAGCCGGCCGTGGATGACATCCCTCCCGCTGAATACATAAAAAAAAAAACTTGAAAGGAACAATGGAGCAGGGCCTAGGCAAGGGTTCTTCGGGCTTTTCGCCTACGTGGTACGATGGTCAGTACGGCTAGCTAATACATCGGCGGCGGCCGAGACGCTGATCAAAAATAAAATAAAGGTCACTTTTCTTAATTCATGCATCGCAAGACAAAAAAAAGTGAGGGAAGCAGAGCGCAACACCTCAACGCCACGGTCCACCTAGTTGTGCCACGTGTGACAGGCGGCTGCGCAGAGCCTTAGGCCTAATGAGTCGCTCGACAATAACCGGCATCCACCCAGCCTAGGCGCAGAAGAGGCAGCCGCGAGGAGACATCCACTCTGTGAGGTGGCCCTATCGCTCGCCGCACACAGCAGCATACCGAGTGATCGGCGTCCACCGTCCTGGGCGGTGTCACGACACCCCGGCGTCAAGCCGCAATACAAGACAGCAACGACGCCCGGCTCCCTGAGCCCAAAGAGATAGAAGAAGCTATTGAAAGAAAATCAGACCACCCACGAGGCTTCCGTACTCGCTCGCTTCGGGCCTGGCCTACAAACCACGTGCTCTATGCCTTGCTCACCCCAGCATGCAGACCGCATGGCTCTCGTCCCAATTCAGCAACGGTTTTGAAAACTAACACCAAGAAACCCACTTGCGAGCAGGAAAAAAAAAAATGAAAACTCAACCTGCCGACAAGTTCAAACATGTCACAAAACCAATCTCTCTTCTCGACAAAGCACACCACCGACGCTAGGAAAGAAGTCCTTCTAGGCCTACTCTACCCCGGCTCTTACAAAAGCTTGTACCGAACCGCAAAAACTGTCGCCCGATACTCCAAGAGCCCCACGTTGGGCGCCAGTGTGGGGTCTCGATGTGGTGAGCGAGCGCCACGCCACGCTCTTGGAGTGAAAGGACACAGTAGACACGGTCGGTACAAACCAAACAACATACATACATTTATTTAACTAATTTAGACGACATCATCCACCGAATTGGTACATCAATCCTGATCAACCCACTGAGACATCCTTACACACATTTTTTATACACTTCAAAACATGACAACACTCAATAACACACCCAAGGCGGCGGCGCCAACGCTTGACTTACCACGTGGGCCCCCCCCCAGCGTGCAGGTCGCGGTGCCCCGCGCCGAGGACCCACGCTAGAGACAAACGTTCGCGGCAGCCGCCACGCGCAGAAGAGGCTCGCTCAACTCTTGCCTGCCACCAAGGCTCGCTTCCACCAGGGGTCACTGCCGGCGCTACCCCATGATGATAATGACGATAGTGGTGCTCAACGCGAATACAACGCCACCTATCGCCCGACGGTCGCCACCCGAAATGCGGTGTTGGGGCGAGACACGTGCGCCACACGGCGCAAACAACTTTACAGCGGGTGTCAGCACCCCCACAGAGCACAACACGTCGGAAGTGTAGGGAGCCACCTGCTGATATGGCTTCTAAGCTAGCATGCACTCCAGGGATTACGTCCACGTCCTTAGAAGCAATGTTCATAGTTGCTGCTTGAGCAACGCCCCTCCCCCTAGCACAATTTCACACTTGTTCAAGATGGGCATGGCATTTCCTCTCTGTTTTGACGGGAAGCCTCCCGAGCAGAGTGATGTTATTGCATGCGCCCTCTGAGCGACCGAGGTGAGCCAGCTCGTTTGATCCCTGCTTCAACCACATTTGTCGCCTCCGCTTGAGAGCATATGCCCGCGGTTAAAGCACATGATGCCCGGAGGTATGTTATCAATTTGGACTTTATATGGGACATGTCGGTGATGGCAAAAACCTGCCGATGGTATCCACATAACTGTTGTTGAAGTAATAAGGCTATATAGCACAATTTATCTTTGTGTCTGAAAAATGCGGCATTGGATAAATGGAACGTCCCATGAAATGGAGCTACATATGATCTGAAAGTTCTCTCTGAATGCTCCAAACTTACTCAAAAAGGCCTTTCCGGCTGCTACTCCAAAGCGTCTTTCTGTTTGCGTACCCTCCATTCACCAGAATAATTTCAGAGTGGGTGCCGCTTTCTGTTTCAAGCACATCACAAAATGCTCTTGGCATGCTCCCAAACATGAAGACTAGTTTTATAGCGACTCGGTTAAAAAAAAGAAAGGCTCTAGGCCATGCACTTGCGCGCTGTTGGTAGGTGTACAACTACGGCACTGTAGTTTATCGATCATGCGAGGAGCCTTAGTTGTGTTTATCTGGCCGTGGTACCGCTACATAGAAATATTACTATCACATAAACTGTGAGACTTTGGTACTTCACTGTACTTAAAAGAGAGTTACCGTGCACAACTGTGTGCTTAGATTTATAAAGAGCCCACACATTGAAAATTAATTCAGACGACATTCTTTATATATGATGCAGTGATCCCACTGCTGCCCCAAGTGCGCGAAAGTGCGTTAAATCAATCAAATTTATTCCATCAGCCTGATAATACCAACGGATATTACGCCATATTGCGTCGAGACTTCATGCATGGTCCACAATTACTACTGCAAAGCAACCTCTGTCACGTGATGCGAGGAGTGCACATACATTATTGTCATCTCATCCCATTAACGCAAGGTTGGGAAATAGGAGGATAGTATTATTCGCATCTTCATTATTTTTTATAGCAGTTTCACAGTAATAGACACTTGCTAAGTTAATTAACCTGCAACATTTTTTCAGCATGTTCAGGGAACGCTGCTGATTGCTAGTCGAGACTCCTGAAAACATGCAAACTAAACGTTATAGTGGAGCATGAGGCCCGGAATTTGCAAATAATTTTCCAAGTCAGCTAGAAATTGTTCCCTCTTCTTTCTATATACGATGCCATATGCCCAAATGACCATGTCATATATAAAGTTTATGACCATTGGCTTATTTTAGCATCGTGAGCCTCATAGTTACCAAGGCCAACACCTGCCTGTGTGCACTTGCGATCATGCTGAAAGTAAACCATACCTATGTTCAGAGGCAAAAAATTTTAAATAAAAAAGTGCTCAAGAACATAGTGGGCATGACTTGACCTCTTTATTTCGTGCCATAATTCCCTGCTTAGCTTTGGGCTTGCTCATCGAGATTAGATAAAAGAGAAAGCATAACAGCGTGGAATAAATCTCAGTAACCTTGCTTATACTTGATGCATTCTAAAAGCTTTTGTAATAGTTGATTAGTGAGACAATGAACTACATTAATGAAGTCATTAGATGGCAACCTGGCAAGTGTTGGGGCCCCCTTTAGCAAATACTGGCACAAGAGTAGAGAGAGTGGTGTCCCCTGTATTTTGAAGAGAAGCACAGAATTAGAAAGACTATTTTGGTTGTATTGTCGTTGTAAGGCCTTCAACGATCTCATTGTGTTCATTGGCACACTCTTGACCTGCTTGTGATACCATGACCATTGCCTCTGCTTTCAGTGGTATGTGTTGTCTCCTTTTTCATGTCCAAAGCAGCGCAGTGTAAGCTATAGTTACTCTGCGGAGCACAATTTGCTCACAAACACCACAAATAATTATACGTAAGTGTTTAGGTGAAACATTCAAACTTGAAAATGTTGTGTAAGAAATTGTTCATGTAAGAAATTGTTCATCCTTTCGCTTTGTGCTTTGCAGGCCGATGCGTGTGCTAGCCCACATGCTGTGCAAAATAATCAGGAGGCGGCAGTTACATCGCCTCCAGCCGAGTTCACATACACACGTAACCAGCTCCAGGACAAAGGGCCTGCTCGATCAGCGGCTGAGCCCGAGTTTGAGCACACTCACAATCGAAGCTGGGAAGGTGAGCAAGCATGTGCAGTTTTCTTGTGTTTATTAGTATCTGCTGAACAAAATATTGAAGCAAGCATAAATATCACTGGTTTTGCTTAAAGGATCCCTGACACCAATTTTGGAAACTAGAGATCTTTGTGTTGTTTAATGAGTCCTGCGTGAAGGAGCACTCCTGATTGATTATTCGTGACGAGTGTTGCCTATGCGATATATTTGGTTTTAAAGAAATGGTGCGTGCTCATCCGAGTTTTCTGGTGCAGTCAACATTTTCCGTCATTTGACCTAGACCAGTGATCCCCTCGGGAGGTTGTAGAGGTCAAGTAAATATTGTGGACGTCGTAGATTGTTTGGGCACCCGCATAGCCCGACTGGCCCCCACGACGACTATTGTTCGTCACTTTTCTCGCTTTATTGTCTGGCTGCTCCCAAGGTGAGTTTGGCTGCATACGCCAGAAATGCTTTTCTTTTTTCTGAGGGGGACATGCTCGAAGCACCCACATCATTTTAATCTTCACCGGCTGCAGGTCCCCCTATTTGAAAACAGCGTGTGCAGCATCACCGAAATTGAGCGCACGTAGTGAATAAGCGCTACCCTGCTGTGGGGCGCTAGTTTCCTACAGTACTTAAGCAGGCATTTTGAACTGATGCAAAATTGCTCTGAATTATCGATGCTAGCATTAGTTATACAGTCGACTCTCGTTAATACGAAGTTCACGGGAACCGCAAAAAACTTCGAATTAAACTAACTTCGAATTAAGCAAAAAGCACTAAAAACGGCACTTTTATTAGTTTAAAAGCGCGACAGTTTTGAGGAAAAATAGTCTGTCATCTTCTTCTGCTTGCCGAATATGGCTGCGGCTCGCAAGTTTTGTAAGGAATACACGTGTCGAAGTGCTTCTTCGGCGTTGTGTTCTCCAACAAAAAACCGCTGCGCAAGAGCAAGACCCACAGCTACATCGGCAGCACTCGGTGGTGGCTCATTTCCGATGTCGTCGTCATCATCGTCATCTTCAGGAATGCAGTCATGGGGCCGAACCATCTGCACGATTTCGCTGTCCGTTAGTGGACCGTTTCGACGTTGCTGTCCACAGCGACATACTCGTCAAAATGGACGTCACCGAGAGCGGCGCGACTCGGTGATGCCGTACTTTCTTGCAATGTCTTGTTGGCGGTGCCTCCCTGGTCAACTTCCTTCAAGACTTCGACTTTCGTCGCTAGGTCTAGCGTTCGGTAAGGGCCACGAGTTGCCAAACGTACGTCACCACCACAACACTCAAAATCAGAAGCGCGGAAACACGTGTGGAATCAACCCAGCGCGCGGGTGACGCGGTGACACACTCGAGTCTCGACAAAAGTCAACTAAAGAGTCAGTCAATGCCGCCGATGCGATTCGCCAGCGTTAAAAAGATTGCCGCTTCAAGATCTGTGGCGCTGCGGACAGTAGTGATGGCGAAGACACCAGCGCGGTCCGGCAGATGTTTTGGCATATGAAAAGTTCCCCATTTTACTGTAAAATTACGGTCACGACGAGACTGTCGATTGAAAAAACTTCTAATTAACCAATATTATGGGTTTTTAACTTCGAATTATCGAGCATTTTTTTCTATATGATTGCATGCAAAACTGATGGGACCACTTGCTCATTTCTAATTAACCGAAACTTCCAATTAAGCGACTTCGAATTACCGGGAGTCGACTGTACCATGATTCAGAGTATTTACGTTTCAATTACGGCATCAGCATCTTTCAATTACGGCATTACCAGATGCTGAGCTACAAATTACAGTAAAAAAGTCACAAACAAAGCTTTCGCTGTCAAAGGTCCTTTAAGGTTGTTCGTTTTTCTCAAGTGTAGTCGCATGGTTTTATTTGACGGTACAGTACAACCTCCATGATATGAATTTCGGCCTGATACGAATTCATGAAATTTCCTTGCCAAATTCTATTGTGTATAATGGCGAAAAATTCCAGTTGATACGTACTTCGGCCACAGCAGCTGTGTATGAAGCGATGTTCGTGTTAGGGGAATGATGCATCCAACGGCAACAAAGCAAAGATGATAATGCCTGCCGCAACCACTGTGGACAAAGCCTCAGTAGATGCGAAAACAGATAGCAACGACCTAGTTTGAAATGTACGTGCGCGGCTAGCACGCATAGATTGAACATGAGTTATGTTATATCTTACTACTGCCATGCACGAAACCCCTGTCGCTGTCGACACGATCATGTATGGTGATGACAAAACTCCAGAAGTGTATGCGCATTCAACACTCACCGTGTCAAAGCCATGTTACTTGCCATGACTGCTATGTGCAAAACCGCAATAGACGTGACCATAGGTAGCAGCGACATACTTTTGAAAAGTGTGTGGCCAGTACATAGGGATTGAAAAATTAACTATGGTTCACCGTAGCCGCGGCGGACGAAACTGCAGTCACTATAGGCTTGGGCATCAATAGTGACTACACAGCTCTAGAGGTGCGTGGTATTGGAACTTGGAAGAATGGAGCATCCCACTGCTGCTACCAATTGTTGGGACCTGTGATTGTAGCATCTCCGCACTCATACTAGTTGTTGGGAGCCCAGCTCCGGCGGGTCTCGACCTTTGTAGCTGGCTCCCATCGTCGGACCCATCACTCAACTTTGCAGAGATGAGAAGCGCTTGTACGAATGACAGAGATTTGTTTACATAGCAAGAATTTGAGAAAAATCTACAAGAAGATATCTGATGTGAGATGAGAAATACAAAATGTCTTTGGCATTTATAGCACTGTGCTGCCAACTCTGGACACATTGTCCACATCTTCTGCTCGTGTGGTGTCGAATGGTCTTGATGCTCTGTCTACGAGGAACGGGAAAGACAGCGTACAACACAAATGGAGAAGGTACAGTCGGAGACGATACCCAAATATTGTCACAAATGCATGCCACCAGAGATTTGCACACAGCACCAAGATTTCGTACACAGCCGAGGGACTTGGGGTGGCATCTCAAAAACTCTCCCAGCAAAGAAGTGTAAGCTCAAAAGGAAAGGTGGGGAAGGGGTCATAAACTTCAGAGGGACCAGTCCCCAGAGCACCTGTAATTTCTTATGGTGTTGCTTGAAAAATGCAGTGGCAATCGGATTCGTTTCGCTGTCACCCCAAACAGAAAACACCACAGTGGACTTTGACGAATGCCCCATCCCCTGCACAAATGGGGCTGGGTTTCAATGGCCTTTCTTTCTTTTTGGTTTCTTGACGCAGAATCGGTCAGACCACACCATTGTTCGTGCTTGGCTGCTAGTTTGTTCAGTAGTCTGTCGAGTTTGTTCAGTCTGCCACAGGTGCGTGCCCATCAGGGATTGTGTTGACTACTAGTTCTAAAGTCCGCAGGCACCGAAAAAAGTCCACTGGCGGTGGCCGTCATAACAGTGAATAATGCAGTGATAGATTAAAGGCAATAAAGTCATAAAACACGAAGACGTTCTATGTTCATTTTTTTTATCACTATAGTGGAGTAGATTTTGGCTTTTAGTTTTCACTTGGCCTCAAGTGAAGCTTTTATGCGTGCGTTTAGGGCGGCCAGCTTTGCCAACCCTTGTTGGTTCATTCACGTGTGTCCCAGAAAGACATACACAAGTTGTTTCGATGGAAATAAATGCTTTGTGTGCACATTGTGGCTTGAGGATTTTGTCCGTTTTCTGGTGATATGAAACTTTATGTGATACGACTATTTTTGCTCCCCCTTGTTGGTATCGCAGAGATACTACTGTATTTCACAGTCAGCACTTGAGAAGTGCACAGGACGAAGCAGGCCCTATGTTCCCCTGTCCGATCTCCGTAGCCTTTTCAACCAGCTGCACCATATCAGCCATCTCAGCTGCTGCGTGAAGCCACCAGAGTTAGTGCTATAGCCTGAAGTCAAGCTAGTGTTGATGTCGGTAGGTGCGCCACAGGGAAATTGACTTTAATATCAAAATAAAATATCATACCAGCATTTGCTGAACTTCACACTTGCGTAGAGCCATTTCTGTATACATTAGATTTCTATGGTAGTGTAAACACACCTCCAAAAAATTGTGTCACTACCCGTTTAAAAATAAAACAGAGTCTATGCTCGACCCAACCCGAGTCTGCCACCTCAAACCAGAGCCTTGCTTGAAGTCTTCAGGCCTGAGCATTGGCACGGGCCCGCAGTGAGAACTAAGTTACCCAGCTCAGCCTGGACCCAGGTTTTCTGGTAAGCTCGGTCTTGTGCTGGGCTATAGTTGGTATGGACCCAGCTGCGGTTAATCATTTTTTTAAAATAGTTGGTTCAAGTTTCTGGGAAGAGCTCATGTATTGTGTCTACCACAACTCAAATGAAATTAGGTGCTTTCAAATGTTGTGAATCCCATGCAAATGCTCTCCAGTGGACAGGTTGCAGCCTGTAGAATTCTTTGTGCTCATTTTTATGTACAGCAGGGGGAGCTGCTGAAGCCTCGGTGTGTGCTTCTGAGGCAGTGGATGAACACAGCACTGGCTTGAGTCAGGCGCAGCTGGCAACTGTGGAAAGCAGTGATCCAGGACTCCGTGCTCGAGCTTTGTATGACTACCAAGCTGGTGAGTTAAGGTTCCCAGGAAGTGTGCAGTTTGAGCAGAACCCAAATCCTTTTCTTATGTGTTTCTTAAAGGAAAAAGAAGAGAAAAGTGAGCCCCGTAACTGTCTGGATCAGAGTGCGACACCTCAACAGTAGCTCACAGGGGATGGGGGTAAAGAAGGGTTTAAAAGGATAGGATTAAAAGGTATATGTAGAGAGAGGAAGGAGAGAGCGAGGCGCAGGGACAGTGAACGACGGAAGAGGAGATAGGAAAGATGGACACGATCGCAGGAGTTCGAGGACGGGGCACCACTCTGCGAAAGCTCCTGTCAGCGTCAGGAGATAGCGTAAGGAGAGCCCAGTCGGCCAGAACTGCGCTGTCGTCGGAGGTCGCGGGGGCACAACCGGTCGGCACGAAATCCAGCGAGCGAGTGTCAGTCTAAATCCTTGTAAAGTAGGCCCTCTATAATTCGAAGTGTGTTAAAAGGCCCCTAAACCACCTCTGATAATTTTTTTTCTTAACATTTCAAGTAGCCCTTAAACTACCTCTGATATTTTTTCGAACATTTTAAGTAAATGCGCATCGTGTGCAGAATGCCCTCGAGACCAGCGATTCTACTCGTGGCAGCGCTATGAGCCACTGGTGCGCCACAAATTTCAAGAAAGATTTCCTCCTCTTCTTTGTGCTTTTCGGGCCTTTGCGTGATGTCGAAAACTTGAATCCCTTACGCACAGCACATTGATGCTGCGATTAGTTGAGCAAAAGCCTACAACTTCAAGTTAGCCTGCAAGCAGCTGTCTACACCGATTGTTGTTCGTCACGTTACCCGCGTGCGTGTGTGCTTGCAAATCAGCTACTGCTGCTTGTAACATTGGGTCCATACTGACATGATTCGTATAAGCACGGGCTGGCACAGCAGCAATGGTTCGTCAATAAGCATGCAGTTGACGGAGTTGGCGGAGGGACAGAGTCACGGCAACTGAAAGTAGACGCTGTTTCGAGCAGCGTGTCAGCGATAATGTATGCCGCGCGAGATTGGGAGGGGCGCTGGGTGAGAGAGCAAAGTGGCTTTGTGAGAGAATACCAATGGAGGGTAGCGAAGAAAAGATTGAAAGTTGTGATTGCCGCATTACGATAATCAAACGTGTCTAACTCCGTTATTGTACCATCATTTCGAAAAATTCTCACAGCTGTAGTCGTGGTACACTCGTGCACAAATTCCTCACCACAGCTGCATTTTGACCTCTGGGTGGTTTCGGGGTCTTTGAGGGGCCCTGCGGCACATTTTGAGCATGTTGTTTCATTGGTTCTTCTTGTGCTGTCAAATGCACCGATATCATTGTGCAAGAGGCAACGTCGAAATCAAAGCTGTTATAATTTTAGTTCACGAAATAAACTACCTTGATTTCGGACTACGGCGACACACATTGGCTATTTTAGTTATGGGAAATTGCGTCATGTCATGTGACAGTGACAACAAGATTATTTGTTTGATTGACGTGACATGACAAGTTGCGTGCATCATTCATATAGTAGTAGCTAGGCCATATCGGTGAATGCTAAAAATAATTCTTTTTATTTTTTCTCTGAAAGAAATAATTTCTGTTCCTAAATATAATGTATTTTCAGAACAATGAAACAGTGAACACGGCTATGGTACACCAGTAACTATAGGTGGAAACGCATGCCACCTTTTAGGCAAGCCAAAAATGTTACGTGAGGCAAACGCTGGCATCGCCGTAGAGCGCGTCTTGCATGCAAGTCGAGAGGTGTCCCCGGCTGAAGAGTATGTATCTAACACCGCGGGACCATTATAGTGTCTCCTACTCGACGTGATTTGTCGTAACCATGCTAACGATGCTGTCAAAGAGAGCAGTAGTAAGGTACTGTATGAAGGCCACCATAAGGTGACATTTCCAATATGTCTTTATGAGATGCGTGCTGGCATTGGAAGCAGTCTTTGACGTCAGCAGGCGAGTGAAATACAAAAGGGAATTTTTCTCGTCGTCTGCCAGAGTTTTGCACTTTGAGGACTCATATCTTCACTTTTCGTGCACTGATGTGCATAATTCTTATTGCACTTGTCTCGACAGTCATTACTACATGCATACCGGTGCTAAATGAGGCTGTTGCAAAAGTGTCGCAGGGTCTGGTTAATTTTAAAAATTTATAAAATTTTTCGCTGGCCTGGTATGTTTTCAATGTATTTTAAGGTCTCTTGGTTCAAACTGCTTCACTGCATAAATGCCATTAATTCAGACTCTTTGCTTGTGCATGCCTCAAATATCTGGTGCTTTTGTTGCTATCTGGTGCTTTTGTTGCGGAACACATGCTTTTTTATGTTGCTGACAGTCTCAAATAAAGCTTATCGCATGCCTACAGAGTAGCCAAGCTATCCTAACTAGGTCCACCAATAATCTCATGTTTACTGAGCAGCAGTGTTGCCAGATGCTACCGAGCAAACAAGCGAATGATTATCACAAAAGAAGCCCAAGTAAGCAGTGAGACTTTTGCAAAAAAGCCCAAAAGAAGCAGAATGTTCAGGGGGAGAACGGATTTTACTGGTTTCAGCTTTATATCTGAGTAGCTTTTGTTGGGAGACCTTGCGTGCTTAAATAAGAATGCTTTCGGTTTCAGGTTGTGCAAATTTGACCCAGTATCTTTTCTTGCTTGCTTCTGGTAGAGTACAGAATTTCAGTCTGGGGCACAAAATGAAATGTACTTTTTCTCAAAAACCAAAAATAGTATGACTATTGAAATTCGGCATGTGTATTCAGTATTTAACATTGTAGTTGTATCAATTAAAAGTTATCAGAATGAGCTTTTACATTTTTCTCGCAAGAAAAAAAATTGTCCTCACTTGTCGCGTGCCATGGAAGACTTTTCAATTAATCTGTTTTTTTTTTTACCATAACATAAACAGTTTTTTAAAGTTCTGAATTCAGGTGATTGGAAAGGTACTTGGGTGTAATCTGAGGAAATATGAGCACAATAGGTCAGATAGTTTTCCATGACATGTAGATGAAGTTTTGAAAATGTTCAAAAAAGTGAGAGCAAGAAAAACACAATTTCATGTCAAAAAACATGCACGGAACCTGCTCACAGCGCACATCATTTCTTACAATAGAAAATCATTTTGACAGGAAAATTGGGGATTGAAAAGTTCGAAAATAGTACGAAGTTACTAGTATATTCAACCGATCTAGCCTTATTTATTGTAAAAATAGATACACACAGGAAGAATGACAGAATGATATTTGATAGGCAGCGCGGTCTTATGTGCTATTTTCAAAGGGCTTTGAGCACTCCTACATGCTCGCCAATGCTTGGCTTTGCTGCTTTGATTGTTTCATTTTAGTAATTAAATTTTAAAAATTGCTTTTTTGGTCTATTTAGCCTGCCATACCCCCTTAATAAATTTTATCATTCTCTAAAATATTTTTAACCACGATCAAAAATGTGAAATATGAATGGGATTTGAAAGAAAATTTCTAACTATATATAATGTAGCGAAAATCATCTCATTAATATTGTTTCTAACTAAGAAAATGACCTTTTAAATGTACACCTTTTTCCTTCATTCATAGCGAGGGCCTCATTCTGGCAGACTTGGTGCCTCAGGTAGTATGCAAGGGATTATTAGACAGCTGCCAGATTGTAATTAGACCATATGCTACGTGACGCAAAATAGAAAGTGTTCCACACTTGCCGTCATGGATACAGGCAGCGCTGACAGACGTTCCTATGTTTAATTCACATATGTACCCAAAAAAGCGGATGGGGGGATAGCCGCCGTGGTAGCTCAGTTGGTAGAGCATGGTACGCTTTATTCGAAGGTCGCAGGTTCGGTCCCTGCCCACATCAAGTTATCTTTTCATCCACTTTTCTTTGTTCACATTTACATTACAATTACCTCATATAACATCTCCTATACTTTCCTTGGCATGGTTGTTGGTTATATCTGATTAATATTGTCACGGGGTCGTGACGTGGACGAATGAAGCACACTGCGAGTCGAATAATAAATTGTTTATTTGGGCGAAGCTGTGCCTAGTAAACAGAAAGTCTGACCACAGTAGGGGTCTTGGACTGATAGCGGCGATCGGATCGTCGGCCGTCGATCAACAACTGACATGCGGTGAAGCACGTCGGCATTTATACACTTGCCAATGAACATTCTATTGTTATCGCTAGCGGGGACGTTGTTTCCTGAATAATCTGAAAGATTCACGAAGTGGGCGTAATCTTAACAAAACGATCAGCCTCGAAGTTTCTTTAAGAACGTAGGCGTGGTTTGCGCGGAACATAGTGTAACATGGCGATAACAAAACTTGAAGAAAGGTATGTGGCAATATTGTGCCTTACAAAAAAAAAAAAAAGCGAGCCCTTAAGTGCACATTTCTTTACTTCATTCTTAGCTAAGGCAAGAAGCTTCCTTTAGACAGCCAAAGAAAAGGAGACTGAGGTAGTGGCTGTAGAGAGAGAAAAAAGATTTGAGAATTTGTAAAATGCATGAATCAAGTTTGTCACCCCTTCAGAGTCCTTGAAATGCTTTGAATTTTCAGAACCTTGACTCTGGAACAGCTACGCTGCTTGGAAATCAAACGTGCACCCGACCTTATAGCAAGAAAAATAGAGCATCTCTCAGATTTTGGCAGTAAGAAAAAGATGAAGCCTGAAGTCTTCACCTTAAAAGAATGAAACTTCAATTTTTTTAATGTTCTAAACATGTGATGCGATTTGTTGCCATCAGCTGAGCAAGCAAAATAACTTGTTTTAATGAGGGCACACTCAATAAGACTATGAGCATGTTGAGCATAGTGCTGGTGAGTGTAATGAGTGCACCGTAGCTGGAAACCAATGCTGCGCCCTTGACAACCAAGGAAGAGGTGGAAAAGCAGGGCTGCTCATGAGCATGAAAAAAAATAAAGAAGAAAAGTATACAGTCAGGGCAACTGACGTGCCAGTCTCCCAAATGTCCCTACAGAGCACATTACTATATGTCGTACTATGCGAACTCACTACACCAGTGGGCATGGCTTTGGCCGAGCTGGCTCTGGCTATGTTGTTTTTTCTATTGTATTGAATTTCACCCCCCAGTGAGATTATTGCATGAACTATCTCAGCAAGAACAACTAACTTTACAATCTTGTAAGTGCTGCAATAATACATTGTGAGCTGCCACTTTCACAATGAAATTGTCCTTGGGTAGAAGTAGGCGACTTTGATGGAAAATGAAACGCGTCAATGCATGCACTGGTGCCCTAAGCACCACAAAGCATGACACGAGGTCTATTGTAATTATTAATGTGGTTTCCTTTGGGATCTGGCTGATAAGGTGAACAGCCAAATTTAAATTACCTAGCAAAGGTTGATTTCAGGTTCATAATGAATTTTTGATCCTGTAACAGCGTATGGGGTGATGGCTGGAACCTTCGGTCGACATTTGATGAGGTGAAAAATAGGCTCGACCGGAGTCGAATGAATGAGCGTCTACTCTGTTTGATATTAGGGACCAACAGAATAAAACTTCGTGCACGCTTTTCATTGCAGCTTTCAAGTTGCTTGTGCTGTCTGAACAAAAAAGCGGAAATTTTTACTATGTGCTTTTTTAAAATATAAAGTATAAAGAAAGGTTGGTGCCAATGCGTGGTGCCAGCTACTCGTCTTCTCTTGCACAAAATTCGACATTACATATTAGGTAACAAACACAAGGCTATACATAAGTACATAGCACAACACTTACGCAATGAGTCCAAGTTTTTATTACTAAATTGAGTCTATACCCCACAGAAATGTGTCCACACCACACAGAAATTGTAAAAACACAAGTAATCATGCAAATTGAAATGGCCACATAAAACATGAAAGTTCGCTAAAATGTCAAAGGTGATCATGTCTCTTAAATACTAAACTGTTTTCACAAAGATATTGTAGTGAAACACAAGAATACTGTTGTGAAATAAACCAGTTAACAATGACGCTAATACAGTTTCTTTTTTTTGGTTCAGTACTTTTGAGATATTTCTAATTCCTGCTTGTTTATATGTTAGGCAAAACAAAATTTCACTGAGCAAGCAGGTCAGGAAAAGCATGGAGGACGTTAATTGTTATCTTTTACTGTAGTTGAATAGTTGCGACGTAAAGTGATTGAAGTGGGTGAAAAATTACCCTTTCCATCTGTATTTGTTCAATTCATTTGGTTGTGCTGTGCGAGTGTTTTATGTGTAACCAGTCAACCAAGCTGACCTTAGCGTAACATTATATAGCAAATGTGCCCCGCTGATCCCACCTATGCACTCTGCTTTCTCTCTTTTGTTAGCTGACGACACGGAGATTTCTTTTGACCCAGATGACATCATTACGCACATTGAACAGATTGATGAAGGCTGGTGGCAAGGCTTGGGACCAGATGGTACCTATGGTCTTTTTCCTGCTAATTATGTAGAGCTCATTGAATGAACCATGTTGTTTGTGGTGGCAGGTGTAGTTGTTAAACGACTGGCACAGATTACTGGCACTTCAGGTTTTATGCACGTTAGATATATGCATTTATATATTTGTAGCTTACTTGGCAGCAGATACAGCACAGTGCATCTTTTCAGTGTTACATTCGTTGTGCCGAGTGGAGCTTGTCTTTGTTACAAGTGGTATTTACACTGCAGCATTTCTGGCTGAGAAATATTGTGTCAGCCTGCTGTCTGGCTCTTCTCAAGCTAACTATGACTCTGTTAATGGCTTATTTCTACACTGTGCAGCAGTGATCAATTAACTTGAAAAATGCTACGCTTTGATGACTGCAAAGAGAGATGCAAATTTAATAGAACAAGAGGAATGTGGTAGCAGTGGTTTTTTTGTTGGTTAAGTAAGCTTAGCTTTTTATCTTAAAGGGGCCCTGCAACACTTTTTTCAGCATGGTCAGGAAGCACCGCCGATCGGTAGTCGAGGCTCCTGAGAACACGTGAGCCAAACATTGTAGCGCAGCACGTGGCTCCGAACTTACAATTATTGCTCCAAGTTCATTATAAATCTCTCCCTTTTCTCTCCACAAATTATGCCATATGCCAAAATTACTGCGCCCTATACTCAAAGTACGTGGCCATTGGCTAATCTGAGCATCGGGGGCTACGCAATTACCGTAACATGCCACCATGTGCCCACGCATGCCCGGGATCATACGGAAAGGAGCCGCGAGTTCAAAGAGAGAAAAAAAAAACTTACGGTCATGTCGCGCGCTGTTGCATGGACGCATCTTCTTGCTCCCTTGCCGTCCCCGTGCCTGTGTAGCTTTCAGAGCGCTTGCTAGTACAAAAGGAGAGTGAGAGCACTTCAAGCGTGCGACAGGTCCCATCACCTTTGCTCGCACGCGACGAAATGTGTGAATTTGTGCGGCATGTGGTTTATGCCATATGCTAATAGTGTTCCATTATTAGTCAGAAAAGTGTCTCACGGCCCCTGCAGCACTTTCCTTAGTAATCATCTAATGACTTCATTAAAAGACTGCTGTAAAATCATTTAGAATTCATCAACCACAAGTGTAGTTAACAGGGATTTGCTGCTTGCATCAAACGCGCTACATTTCTCTTTTCGTACAAGTGAGCACCCTGAAAGCTGCTCTGGGAGGTGTATGAATATGCGTGCGCATATGGACCTTGAGCGCTGTCATTTTTCATCGAATGCACTTCAATGTCATCACGAGTGAGCACGTGGCAGCATCTCGCGACGGCTACAGTAAATATGCAGCTCATGATGCTCACATTTGGCAACGGCTGTGAACATTGGGTATACAGTGCAGTAACTTTTATATATGGCATCATATATACCGAAAAGAGGAAGCGATTTCTTACTGACTTTGCGAATTCATTGTAAGTTTCAATCCACGTGCTGCTATAATGTTTGGTTTGCATGTCCTCAGGATCTTCAACTACGGATCGGCATTATTTTCTGGCCATGCTGAAAAAGTGTTTGCAGGGCCCGTTTATAGAATGTTCGAATGTTGCTTGTGGTATGTGTGATGCATGTTTCTCTTTGAACACTGGAGACAAGCTTTGCGCAGTGTTGCACAGTTGCTGCTGATATTGGAGCTCTTTTTTTATAAGACTTGCATTCTTTACCATGCTTCACTGCTCATCATGTTCTCAATAAGTTTTCTTGTACTGGATACAAAATGTTATGGCTTACATTTTGGCATGTTTATCCTTAGCTAGTACTTCTTAGTCATGTGTAATTAGGTACTTCTAAACCATTTGAGCTGTACTAGATGTTCTTGTTACCTGTATGATTTTTCGTAGGAACTTTCCCCTTGTGTTCATGCTTTCTTCAAAGGTGCCTGTAGCAATTTTAGTCTGGCAGCAAGTCTTCGTGCATTTAAAAAAAAAAAAGTCTTGTTGCAAGTGTTCTACAAAGCTAAGTCATGTTGATGAAAGCCATGTGGTAAGTGTGAGCCACACCTTTTACAGTGCTGGCATGTGAAACATGAAGCCTGCAAGCAGGTCTCAGGAGTATATACACTACTATCTACTAACTGCTGGTTTACCAAAAAAAAGGAGAGAGAAAGAATGCACATTTGCTGTCCACTTATAATGATATCGCAAAAGTTCAATCGTTGGGAAATTATTGTTATTACCAGGGACACCTGTGCTGTAGCAAGGTGAAGCTTTAAAAAAAAATGTGCACCTTTCTAAACAGCCCAGTCCTATGTCATTGTGAAGACAGAGAAGTCACTCCATAAAAAGAAACAACAAAAGAAAAACTTCTTGTGGTGCTTAGAGAGGCCCTGAAAGGGTTTTTTCTAAACTTTCAATAATTTGAAGTGAAGTGCTTTTGAGGAACATATTACTATAAGAATTTCTGTGAAAGACCTTTACGATCAGAGGCATTAAGAGCGCAGTATTTATTATTCTGATTACCGTTAGCAGTGTCCTCCATTTTGAAGGAGAGGGACAACGTTAAAGCATTACATTTCACTCCTGCAATGGTGGGCGCAGTCAAGCATGAACACTCGCTTGGTTTAATCTAATAGTGCAACTTTTATCGATGTTTGATATGCAGATTTTCAAGTTACCTCAGCTTTTCTAGTTCGCTGCCTCAATTATTATGGCTGTAACTCTCATTTTTTGTACTCTCAAGCAAGCACAAAATAATTTGAAAAATTGGGTGCTCATAAAAAAAAAAAAAACAGATACCTCTCTTTTTACCTACTTCAAAGGCCACTTCATAAATAGCTCTGAAAGTCTCCCAATATACTTTCTTTATTTGGTGTCATGGTGCTCGTAGTTCAGCAAGAGACAGTAAATGCACAGATTTATAATTAAGCAATACATAGCTATGTCCTACGAAAGTGAGCCTTTTTCGTTCTTGGTATGCTTTGTCTCAATTCTTTGTGCATGGTTGACTGTGAAGCACCTGTGCATTTTGGTGAAGCTTACTTTGAAGACTGTGGTTGCAAGTGATTGGCACATCATGCTGCTGATCCATTCTCAAGATGATCATCATGGCAACAGTGGTTGCTTCAATGAATGCAATTTAGAGCCTACAATCTTTGCAGACAGAAAGTCTGAAAACTTGTGATAGCAAGCGGTTTGTATCCGAAATGTCAGATGGCGCTGTTAAATGCATGGCATTACTGTGCAGGCATTCACTTTGTCAAGAATGTCCATAAAGATGGTTGTTGTCTGTTTATAGCAAGAGCAGAAAGAAGTGCTGTGACCTAAATGTTTTGCTTTGTGTTAACTATTAGCCAGTGGTAACTTGACCTTGCAGCTCGGGCTTGTTGGTACGGCATAATTAGATAACAATGGTTGGGCAAAAAACAGGACACAAGAATGCAACAAAGACAGTTAGTGGTAGCTCTTTCTGATGCTCTATGAGACACGTGTGGGGAAGGGGTAGGCTTGGAGAAAGGTTAAATTTGTGCTCTGCTCGTGAACTCCATGCACTGCAGACAACTACAAAATTTGGTGGACTAATATTAACAGCTGCATGTACTGTGACGATCAAAATTATGGAGACCACGGGAGCGCGTGGCAAACGGCCCCACGGCGCTTTTTCACAGCTGCCTCAGAAGCTCGAGAGTGCGCACTGCTGAGCGCACAACAGAAAGCCAGGAAAATCACAAAGTGTCGCTTTCACAGCTGTCATGGAAAGCACGGAGCGATTATATCGCGACATAAATACATAACTTGTAGTGGCAGTGCTCGGAGTGCGCCGCTTCTATGCCCTGGTTCCAGACGCTCCGCAGAACCAAAAACGCACAGATTGCGTCAGTCTTTTTTTAATGGACACATGTGATAAGATTATCGAGCAATGCTGTCTTTTGGCGAAGCACGCCTGTTTTCTCCACCACGGAATGTCTGGAACGAAGCACTGCCACTACAAGTTACATATTTTTGTGACGATTATAACTCAGTGCTTTTGCAGCGACTGCAAACGCAACACCTTGAGATTTTTTGGGTGTTCTGCTGTGCGCGCAGTTCAAGGGAGTGAAAGTGCAGGCTGGTAGGTAGAAAAAGATGCCCTTAGGCAGTGCGCGCTCTCGAGCTTCTCTGGTAGCCGTGAGAAGGTGCCGTGGGGCTGTTCGCCACAGTGCCATCAATAGCATGTGTTTTTTTTTACCAAGCGTGAGGGGCCACTGAGAGCCAAATGAATTCTTATTTCACATCAAGTACACTTCACAAGGTCCAAAAGCGAGTGTACCATGCATGTAGTGTAGCTCCTACGCTCTTTGCATAAGGTCTGTTGTGCTTTGTGAAATAGCATACTTGCCCGCAGGTATGCTCACATGATGGTCGCGTTATATACCGGGTGTTTCAAGGAATAAGGGAAATCTGATATTTGCGCGCCACTTTTATAGTTACTTTTTCTATGAAGGCTTACTTACTTTTTCTGTAGTTGCTATAGTTTTCTAGGGTTGACAGTTACTTTTCTATTGTCTTAAATGATTGGATACATTAATTCTAGTATTAAAGTAACACTTTAATTAAAGCAGACAAGCGGTCAAGTCAGATGGGAAAAGTAAAGTCATTCCTGTGAAAAGCTTCCTTTCAGATTTCCAAAAAGCTAACACGGGTAATTTTTGCAGAGTGATAAAAATTGTATTAAGTTCACTGGCAAAACTAAAACACTGGAGAGCACAACCGCAACGCAACAGCAGACAGCCAGAATGACGGCACTGTTTCTCACAGCAATGGCAGTGGTGTTAGTTTTTCTTGCATATGTCAACCTAATGTGCGCCATGTGTGCCATCATACAAAGAGCTGTCAGCGCATCCATGAAGTATCGATAGTTGAAAACGACACTGGCTGCCTCTGGACATTGAGGTTTCTCCAATTGAATTTGTTGGATTTCAACACTCTGCCAAGGCTAACAGTCTCAGTTGGAAATTTCAAGGCAGTGGACTCTTTGCAGGTGGGAATTCAAGTTCTCCCATTTGACCTTGCTGCGTGTCACCTCTAAGAAGTAAATTTACTTTTGTAACTGTAGCTTTAATATTTCTATTTATCGTAAGATGCCCACTGCACCAGAAAATGTAATGCTGAAGACATGGAGCCAATGTTGCAGTTCGCTTAATAAACAATATTAGGACACATCGTTAAAGCACCCTGTATACTGATCTAAGCCATGCTTTTGACAATGTTTTCTCGGCAGCACAATTTGCTCTACAATGTACCAATTTTCCACGGAAGTTGTTTGGCAAAATTTCAACCATAGTATTCCATGAACTGCAGTGAAAACAGCATCAGGTCCCATTAATTTTTTTCTCGAGCTAGTGTGCTGAAGTTACTGATTGTTACAAGCAAGAGGCACTCTGTTGTTTGGGATGTCATTATAAGTGGATTGTGCTGTAACTTCTTTTTCTTCTGGCCACTACTTAAACAGCTTGCACATTGTATTATACATTTTGAAGTTATTGTAAAAGTTGCTTTTTTGTAATAAACTAGTTCACTAAGATGTTTGTATTGTTCTCAATTTATGCTCAAGCTGATTCACGTGAGGTCTCCTCATTTTGGCTGCACTTTTTGGTCTAGTTCAAAAGTGCTGCACTTTGGCGTTCGATTTGGCAAGTGCAGCTCGCGCCACCTGCACTGGATTTGATGCCATGCCGCATGAGTTCACCAGCACTTCAGCACTAGCTGCCCCATGACTTTGACCGCTGCACCGAAGCCACCAGTGTCATGCTGTACTAACACTACAGGAACAGTTGTGGCACTGGCACGACACTTTCGTGGACTACGTCGAGAGAGTGCAGCCGAATTGAGGAGACCTGTGCTGTCAAAACTTGATAAGTTGGCGTTCTTTAGTAAATACAATGGACCCTAAAAATGCAGTGAGAAAGGTCCAGCATATCCAGAATTTGTTCTGTCTGCATTAGTAATTGTTGGGTGTCTCGCAGCACATGGAACAAGGACGACATTGAATAATTTTCTCACCTGGTAGCTCTATGAGCATTTATCAATGTCATCTATGTTGTGCTGTGAAACATCAAATTATATTGCACAAACCAGCCCAATGCTCGACCTCGATTGTTGGGGTTTTACATCCCAAAACCATCCTATGGTTATCTAAGACACCCTAGCGGAGGGCACTGTAAATGTTGACCACCTGGGTATTTTTTTATTGATTCAGCTAAACTCAGCATGATAATGAAGGAAAGGGACAAGGAAAGGTAAGCAAGCGAGAAAAAAAAAGAACGGGTGGCAACAGGGTGACAGGTTAACGTGCACCTAAGTAAATGCGACTGCTGCAGCCGAGATTCGATCCCGTCGCCTTCGGTTCAGCAGTAAGCACTATATTCAGTCGGATCCATGAAATGTTCTAAAACGGTAGAACTTTGCATTTTATGCCATCAAAATATTTGATCACTGGAACCTGGAGGATACAGAAGTGGGAAGGTATAGTTTTAAACAAAAAAAAAAACATTTTAAAGGCTTCTCGTGTCTTAGACGAATGCAGCGCTACTTAGACAGGCGACGCATAGAACACAGACATACGTCGTGTGTATGTGTCTGCTGTCTTCGTTCAAGTCACACTGCATTTGGCCGAGTATGCACCAACTCTTCCAAGTCAAATATTTTCATGTTTGTATGTGGCAACATTGTACCATTCATCTCTGTGCATGGTGTACAGATGTCGAGATGGTCATTCTAGAGGTCTAGTTTTTAGGTACTAAATAGCGCGTTTTAGGTGCCAAAGATAGGCTGGTAAAGCACAGCTTTATGCCCCGAAAATTGTTGATATAGGCACAATAAATTTTTACGAACATTGAAATTTTCAAAGATGTGCGACCTGTATCTACGACAAGAGAGCAAAAACAAATGTTATGGTTTATGATGGTACAAAGCCGCCAATGGTTTAACATAGTCATGCCATGGACCTTTTTGTCTGCATGATTCGCGTAACACAGTTTCTTCTTTTATTGTCCATCATGGTTAGTGAAGTGTCCACCGTCGAATAAACACGCCTCTAGGTCTCTTTCTTTTTGGTATGACTGAGAATGGCAGCACAGGAATAATGTATTCACTGGGCACTCAAGATCACGTCTGCCAAGATTTGCTACGCTATGCACCCCGGAAAGAGCTGAAATGCCAGAGTGAACGCCACTTGCCCTTCATCTCACGGGCGCGCGCCCCAACTATAGTGTACTAGAATACCCCAACATATGGAGGAGGTGACGTGCCTCAAAGAATATACTACAGGTATACAGTGTCCCATACTACTGTGACGTACTGCGTACTTCACAGTAGTATGGGACACTGTATACCAGCTGACATGTAATTTTTGTGATCTGTTGCTTGAATAGAAAAATGATAGGTGGAAATATTACAGCACACAATTGGAATCTGTGCGTGTTTTGATTGATTTTTACTGCCTCCATTTCTTTTGTGTTTTCCCCATTTTCGCGTTGTGCCAACACTATATCCCTGACAGCAGACCCTCCGGTGCTACGCTGTGTATCGTGGTAAAGATGCATGATTCACGCCAGTCTCTCCAAACGTGCTCGCTTAGCTGGATCCATAACCACAGAAACAAGCTGTATACCACAGAGAACGCCGAAACGAAACAATACCGCTTGCGTGCACGACTTGGCTTGGGCATGTTATGCGCATGTAACGTAACCTTCGTGCGCATGACGTGTTGCATCTGCGTCGTGTGATTTTGTGGCTCCGCGAGTTGCTCCGATACCGAAGAGGGCCGGGAAGGAACTTGGCTTGCGATGTCTACACAGGGCGAGGGGCGAAAGTGTCAAGCTCGCATCGTGCTTTCACAACTCGTAATGGGTATGACTATGAGGCGCCATGCTATGAGACCATCTGACGGAATGTTTTTTTTTTTTTTTTTTAAGCGATAATCACTAGTATTTGGCGGGCGTAGTACAGACAGAGGGGAGACCCACGGCTCCCTTGGACGGCGTCCTGTGATAAGTTAGATAATGGCAGACTCGTTGTTGCGCGACCCACGCCTTCGCAAGCGTGAACTGCGTTCCCAGAAAGGAGCCCGTGCAGTGTAGGCGCAAAGTAGCACGCCGCTGGTTGAGTAGCTTTCCGGGACCATCGTGGAGGCTTGGACCTCTTCCGCTGGTGGTGAGATGGATGCTTGCGGTGGTGGCTGCCTTGCGGGTGCCATCAATGAGGAAGCCTGACAGGGTGCCTTTCGAAAGCGTGTTATCTCAAGCAAGCAGCTGGAGTTCACCAAAGCTTTTCGATGACTGCGCCATTGTCGTGAACGAGGCGACAGACGACGCCCGTCGCTGGGTTGGTTGGTTGGTTGGTTAAACCATGCCCTGCGAGATTAGCCGGTGGTTCGACGGCCGTCTCGTTCGGTGCGTTGCCCAGCGGAGAAGCGTAATTTTGTCGTCTGAAGGCGCCGCGAAATGGCGATCTTTCCCCTTGAGGCACTCGAGCATTCATATATATATATATATATATATATATATATATATATATATATAGCAAACAGTGGAGCAGCTTCGATCGAGCAGCACGAGTTTGTACTCGTCTTTTTGCCGACCAAATCATTTGACACGCACAATTAATGATGACACTAGCCGCGCAACAGCCAGAAATCCACTACATGCTCGTGTCATTACTCCCCCTCTCGAAAAGCATCGACTCGATGCTTTCAGATGTATGAAGCCTAGAGCAAGTCTTCAGCGTGAGTAGTATGGCTTCATCCTAGCCATGCATGTGGACGATGTTCGGCTGGGCACCACGATGGGAGGACCGCACGCTCTGCGATAACTCCGTACTTTACAATCGCTGAGGCGCTGAAGAACCCGGTAAGGGCCGAGATAACGACGCAAGTTTCTCGGAGCGGCCGAGTTGGCGTGCGGGACTCCAGAGCCATACTTCTTCTCCGGGGTGGTAGGTGACTTCTCTGTGGCGAAGGTTGTACCTATGAGCATCGTGCTGTTGCGGAGAGCGAATGCGCAAGTAAGCTAGCTGAACTTCTTCGGTGCGCTGCGCATACTGGTCAGCATTTTCGGTGGTGGTCGCAAAGGTGTCAGGTAAAAGCATGGCGTCTAACATCGTACTAACTTCGCGGCCGTGAAGCAGGCGTAAAGGTTTAAATCCTGTAGTTTCTTGCACGGCGGTGTTATATGCGAAAGTTACGAAAGAGAGGACTTTGGTCTACGTCGACATACATGTAAATCATGTCTGTGATGGTCTTATTGGGCCGTTCTGCGACATCTCTTGCCGTACCGCGTTGGAGTGCTCGTGTTTCACTGTAACGGGTTAAATAGTCAGTCGCAATTATTATCCAGCGATTCTCCGCTGAAGATTTCGGAAATGGACCTAGCTAGTCCATGCCAACGTGTTGAAACGGTTCTTGGGGTGGCTCTATAGGTTGTAAAAGACCAGCAGGTTTCATGGACAGAGTCTTTCGACGCTGGCAGTCTCGGTAGGCTTTGACGCAGTGCTTGACGGTATGGGACAGTTTGGGCCAGTAGTACACGTGGCGGATACGAGCCAGAGTACGCGTGAACCCTAAATGACCGGAAGATGGCTCGTCATGGCACGCCTTAAGGATGTCGTCTCGCATTACAGATGGTACGACCAGTAGAGCGGTTCGAGCATTGGGATCAAAGCTCCGCTTGTAAGACGTTGTCAAGGAGGAAAAATGATGAAATCGTGCGCCTGAACGTTCGTGGTGGCTGTTCAAGCTTGTCCTCGAGATAGTCGATGAGCGGGCGAAGTTCTGTGTCATCACGCTGTTTTTGAGCCAAGTCGGAGGCTGTGACGGCCATGAGGAAACTTTCGTTGTCATTTTGGTCAGGAGGAATCGACTCGACTGGGGCACGTAATAGGCAGTCAGCATCGGTGTGCCTGCGTCCTGACTTATAAACCACCGTAACGTCAAATTCTTGTAAGCGGAGACTCCATCGAGCTAGGTGGCCTGAGGAGTGAGTCTTTGAGGCCTGCAAACCAGCACAATAAAGAATGGTGGTTGGTGACTACTTTGAACGGTCGCGCGTACAAATATGGTCGGAACTTGGCTATGGCCCACACGACAGCTAGGTATTCTTTTTTGTTGTGGAATAGTTCGTTTTAGTCGATGATAAAGTACGACTAGCGTATACAGGTGAGCACTCGATCGATACCTTCCTGCCATAAGGATGGCTCCGAGGCCGACATTACTTGCATCTGTATGCACTTAAGTGTCGGCATTTTCGTCGAAATGACCCAAGATTGGAGAAGTCTCGAGGCGTCGTCGTAGTTCGCAAAAAGCTTCGTGTTGTTCTGGGGCCTACGCAAAGCAGCGTTGTCTTTCGTGTGTTCGTTTAAGGGTTCTGCTATTTTTTAAAAGTTCGGAATGAAGTGACGATAGTACGCACAAAGGCCCTGAAAACGGCATACGTCGTGTTTGTTCGTCGGAGTTGGGAAGGCAGCGACAGCCAGTGTTTTCTCGGGGTCTGGGCGAATTCCGTCTCTGTTGACTACGTGGCCGAGAAA